GTTCGCCCCGCTTCGGCCCAGACGGGCTTAGCTGCTTCTGTTGCACTTAAAAATACTCTGAAGCCGCTGTGTTGGCATGCTAAGGGTGGAAGAACCTGTACCTGCCATCCAGGCTCTTCTGCTTCTTGGCAGCTTTTGCCCCCTGGATGCTCAGGTCCCAACAGAAACCAATGTCATTTTGTCAACCTTCTTAAGGGGTCTGGTCCTTGGTGCGTTCTGCCCTGGTAGTGACGGGAAGGAGCGGGGTCTGGTACCCAAACACACCAATCTTTCAACAGAGTTGCTCAATTTTTGGCTTTGGTTTAAAAGTAGTAGGCTTCATTGCTGTGGAGGAATTAGAAGTGGAGGAGGTTAAATTTGCCATCATCCGCCTCCTGAATGTGGGGTTTTGTGCCTGTTTTATGACCTAGGTTGTTAAGATGCGCTTTTATGCTGCTGTACAAGCAGCCGGGCTTAGTATTCCTCACTGGGTTTAAATGCCACTGTGACTTGGAACCAAAAATAATTAGGATCCAGATAAATCCAGCTTTTATTTTTTTAAATCTGGAATGACGGTATTAAAAATACAGATTTCAAAGTAAAAAAAAATATATATATTTTTTGTTTTTTTTTTAAGATGCATCCCCTCTCATGCTGTATGAAGGTAATAAGAGCTTTTCATGGGCTGCTTCCTATCCAGGACTGAATGAGATCCTTGTGTAGGTTTATGCTGCGAAATACTTTCCTCCTCCCCTGGAAGTACCTTCTTCACACATGGTTATACATCTGCACTGACATGTATGCCAACACATTCCACACATGTGCCACATGCACGATCTTAATAATTAAAGGAGAACATCTGGCATCCTTGATCACATTTTATTATTTTGAGTATGTTTATTTTATAAGCGAGGTCTTCTATAGCTTAGCTTAAACATTAAGTGAGAAGGAAGCTAAACTTACTAGAGCACTCAGAGGAATCATCAGAACAGGTGGCCTTTTGCAGTTTAGCTCTGCAGAGAGGTTACAGATACTTCTGCATGCGTACAAGGGATGTGCTATGTTTGGCATCATTTTAGGTTGAATGCCAACTAATTAGTCATCTAGCAAAGATGCTTTATGAGCATTATCAGATTTCCAAAATTAAAGAAGTACTAAATCTGTAGTATGACATATATTTTATGTTGATTTTTATTTTAACACAGTTGTCTTTTGAAAGATATTTTGCAAGAGAGACTTTTTTTTCCCCAATAAGTCTTAACAGACTTTCCACAAAATGCTATCAAGAAGAAAAAGATCATTGTATCTCCTTGAACTTTCACAACTGTAATATTGAAGTAAATGATGTAGGCTGAAATCTGAGTTTTTTCCTCCCTATAAAAAAACACTTCTGGGTGAATATTTGACAGACTGGATATTACATTGCTTCTTATTTCTTCCCATAGTTGACCTGTACAAAATATAAACCACTCACTTTTAAGTTTTGAGCTTGTAAGTAATACATGAAAAAATGCTTTGTTTTTAAAAATAACAGCCACAATTACCTTCAGCCAAAGTTATCTTACAGCCTGTACCTCCTTACAGCCAAAGTTACCTTCACCTCACTTGACAGGAACAGTTTTTAATAAAATAAAGCAAAAAATCTCCAACTTCTGCAAGTCGTCAAGCTTGATTTTTTTTTTCTTTTTTGATTTTTTTTTTCTTTTTCTTTTTACTCAGAGGAGTAACTGGGAACTAGTCATGAATATATATATTATCCAGATCAAATTTTCCCTGTCTTCTGTTTTTTTGCTGATAAATCCTTATGGCAAATGGGACTTGTGTCTTAAAAGTGGGACACTTGCTAATATATAGCATATTAAAAAAATGTCATAGGGGATGGGAGTACTTAGAGATGGAAAGTATAGTCTGTTTTGATAATATTAAAGCTATATCACTTTCTGATGAACATCAGAATATTTATTTTTCTCTTTTTCTGGAAGCTGATTCACCATCTAGATTTCATGTGAACCGAAATTAAACATATGTTTTATTTTAAGAACAAAAGGCCTCATTGAGGTCTGACTGATGCGAATTTTAAACCTCAAATCAGTGCAAATATTTCTAATTCTGGTGCAAGTGATGTTTAAAATCAGACGTGGGGAGCTAGCCAAATTCTAAATTTTCCTGGCATATTCCAGCATTGCCACGAATAACAATTCATGAAGATTTTTGCATGCATAGCAAACTGGAAAATGTTTACTTTTGGAGATTTCCTAAAACTGGATCCAGATTCTCCATGCTATCGTTAATTAGCACAATTGTTGGTAGTTACGAAGGAGAAGCTAAATTGCCTGAGTGTGCTCACAAATGTGGAAATGGTTTCTCAAGAAGGGGAGTGAAGCTTAAGTGAGTGTATAGAAGCTTGCCCTGGTACTGCTTATACAGTAGTATGGCATATGTTGAGGATAAATAGAAGAATGAAATTCCCCATGTCATTTGATTGGCCCTGTGCATTACAAACTCACTTTATGAAGCAGATACAAAGCCAAAAAGTTATTAGCACTCACTAAACGTTGTGAATTTGGTAATGTAATGAACAAATATAGAAAAGTTCAGGAAAAACGTTACTAAAGGCCTTTTAAATTTACAGGGCTAGTTTTAGAAGGTGGAAATACACCAACTTTGAAAAAAAAATCCAAACCCTTAAAAGTAGCCACAGATAAGCAAAGGGATTTCAAGTAGAAGTTCAGTTAAACAAATCAGAAAGGGCAGTTTCATGCAAGGAGAAAAAAAAAACAAGCTATGAAGTGCTATCAGGAAATTTTAAATGCAGAATAGTTTTGAAGGTAGTCAGTTAGAATTTCAGTAGTGGGAAAGTGTTTAGGGACTAATGAATAAAGTAGTGCCCTGGGAGCTTTGAAAATAGTGTGGTAGAAACAAAGTCAATTATATTGCCTAGACTGTATGTTCCATTTTCCCATTATGCTGGATACAATTTATGGAGCAGAATACAATTTATAATGCATGTTGATTTCCCAATCAAAACTACTCTATAATCTACTAGATCATAAGAATAGGGCATTTACAGAAGTCACTTGTAGTGTGAATAAATAAAAGTATTATCTATTGTAAAACTGCAAGAGTGTTACTACAGTGCTGTTTTGATTCAGCTGAAAAACTTTGAAGCAAAAACTTTTCTAGTTATAACATGAATCCAGTTTTCACTTAATTTTTAAAATTTCCTTTATGTCATACACAAAGGAAAATTATAGAAAGTTGTAAAACTTGCATTCTCTTTGGAAATGATCTTTTTTCTCATTCACTGGTGATTAGTTTAAAAATGATTGTAGAACTAGGGCTGACTTTTTGAAAGAAATATTATTCACTTGAAGTAAAAGGCCTGAATCTGATTTGCCATTAAAACATTTGTATGATTTCAGACTTCTGAGTAACTCTTGACACTGCTTAGAGCCCATGAGATCAGATTCAAACTTGTACTTGCCTTATAACTTTTTCTGATTTAATGCTATCTTTAAAACTTTCATGATTTGCTAATTAATCATACTTAAGCGTGCACTTACTGAAGTAAGAAGAAATTAGGTGACTGAAGCTAGTGAGAGCAGTATCACTGTCTGTTCTCGTATATCTAATCTTGTAATACTAGTTCTAATTTTTTTGTTTGTTTGTTTTTCCTGTTAGGTTAGGTGTATCTAATAGAACATCTGATCCTTAGCATCTTGTTCTTAATGGCCGGTTGACCTAAGACAGATGGTGTTGTATGACTTGCCTCCTAGTGGAACTACTGGGTAATATAGTGGCCGTGAAACCCGCTGATGTTCATCTAAAAAGTCTATTCTAAGGCTACAGTATTGCCGACGGGATGTTACTGGCTCCCTGTGGTGGCACATCAGTCAGTGAAAGTTAGATCTCTTTTTCCTCTACGGTTCTGTTTATTTGTGTGAGGTATGCAGTCTGGCATGAACTGCAAGTCTCACTAGCAGCTAGTGAAGTGATGATAAGTCTTTGGCTTTCTGTGTAGAAGTTGCCAGGTGCACTGGGTTCAGGAGTAGTTCTTTCCCTTTCCTCTGTAGTTTATTGGTAAGGGACTGAGCAAAGACATGGGCTTCCCTTCTCCTACGAAGGGGTTTCATATTTCCTTCTGCTCTACAGTCCCCTAGATAACCACATAGGTTATAGGCAACGAGGAGCGTTTTCTTTCTTCCTACCAAGGAAGGAGCCTGAAGAGAAGGGATTGAGGATGTGTTTTCCTTCCTCCGTCCTCCAAGAGCCACAGCAGAGGGGCAAGGGTACATTTCAGGGTGTACAAAGGGGTTTAAATGCCCCCGAAAGAGGCAAAAATTGAACCTGATCTTCTGTTTGTCAGATGAGTGCTGCAGCCACTGAATTACTGGATGAAATTAGGAGATTTGGATGTGCTTCAGAAGTAGTCCTGGGCTGTGAGTCAAATATAGCATTATTTTTGTTTCAGCATCCCCAAACGTAGGAGGTTAAGAGCTACATCCCTTTACTTGAAGAAAAGGGTATCTTTTTGTTGTGTTCTTAAATTCCTGCCAAACCAGCCCAGTCAGGATAGCAGGACATGGAGTGGAGTCATTTTTACCCATCTGTGGGACTGCATGCAAATTTCTTGGTAGTTACACCTGTTTAGTCCCTCCCTCGAAGGTAATGGAGCCGTACAGTGTCCTCAACGGTGTTATCTGATTTGGGCAGTTTTTGGTTCCCTGTCGGTTACTGTCCACTTGTGCTTCAGAATCTAAGCTGAATTTGAAGAATGAGAAGGATGCAATCAGTGCTTATTAACCAGACACTATTTGATTTGGAAATACCTGAAGCTATCCAAAGTTGTTCCATAATGCTATCTTATGCAGTCATTGTCGCAACTGTGACTCTTCTGAAAAAGATGGCTTCTAGTTGTCTGTTGCTTTTAAGGCACAGTTGGGGCTGCCTTCTTCCTCGTCATCTTCTTACTCATGATCCCGTGCCTGAGAAAGTGCAGTTGAATACTGGGTAGAATTGAATACCTTGGCTATCATCTCTCCTAAGCAGAGTTTGAGAACTTTTCTCTGTTTCTTCCAGTGTGCAATGTTCAGCTTATAAGCATCATTTCTGAAAAGTTTCGCTTCTGTCGGTGCAGGCGGAGTGATTTACTTGTAACAATGTGTGGTCTTCTTTCAGCTAATCATGTGAACAAGAAATGCTTAAGTGATGAGGCTTTGGAGAGTCAGACTTTCAGCTGAACATTACATCCAGAAAGCCAAAAAATAAAAGCAGGATAAATTTGAAGAGCAGAGACTTAACTTTCTGTTTTTTAGAGGTCAGTAAAATATGTATGTAATTATGTGCTTTTATTAAGAATTCATACATACCTTCAAGGTTCCATTGCTTAGTATAATAGATTTTGTGATTATTCTTTAGATTACTGGTGGACTAGAAGTGAGCACTACAAAGTGAAGCTGATCATTTTTTGAGGCGCTTGTCCAGTCTTCCTCAGCTGGGGAGAGGAGATGATTCAAAGGCTATGGTGTTATTTACCTGTTGTTGACTGGTTTGAATTTGGCTCTGGTTAGTAATGCTTGAAGTCATTGCCATCTGTCTGTTATTCAGTGACCTGTATATAATTAGCTTATATTCTTAGTACAGTTCTTTGTAGACAGGTGTCCCCATCATGGAAATTGGCACCAGTATCAACCCTGTTGGCTGTCTCAGCAGAGATTATGTGCTGAACAGGCAAAGAAATGGCATAATCTCCTCATTTCTGAAGGTATCTTTTTCCCGTTTCCCAGAGTTCAGGCACGGGTGAATATGTGCAGAGACGAAAGTTAGTATATGATTTTGCGTTTGTTTTATTTGTTTTTTATAGAGAATGTATACCATGTGTTTGAATTCCATATTAATTTTTAAAAATCTCCTACTGAGTTGATCTGACTTCTTAACAGAAATCTCGAATATAGCTGGAGTCCTCTGCTATTCTTTCTGACAGAATAAAACAAAAGAGAACATAATTCATTTGACTGATATCTTTTAACTAAAAAAAGCAATCCTGTTAAGCCAGCAAGAATTTGGAAAGAGAAAGCACCAAATCTTTCATATGTAGGTATATTGGAAAAAAAGAAAAAAAATCTGCACCAGCTATATTTTTTTCAGCTGTATCTATAGGAACTGATCTAATATAGTTTCATGTAGTTTATGTATCCAGGGACTGATCTCATAATTGTGGCAATAATCACACTTAGCAGTTAAACTGTACCTTGTATGTTGAAACCTCTGTACAGACTTGTTTGCTAATGTTCCTGATTGGCTGCTTGTCTCTTGATGGCAAAATTTACAATATGCAAAAAGCCTGTGCAAGATATCTTTGACTGTTTACATACAGTGGAGATCTCTGCAGTGACAGTTGCCTATGGAGACGAGGGGATAATGGAGCCCAAAGTCTTTCACTGAGAGCTGTGCTGCAGTTCAACCCATATGTTGGCATAAAATGCATGGGAGAGCTGTCTTATGTTCCTGTTCACAGGGTTAGATCCTGGCATCACTTCTTCAGCCCACATGTAACATCTCTGTGTAGCGCTCAGCTATTCTGGCTTTTTGCAGGGGTTGCTTTTAATCCTGCCTGAGCTTCTTTAAAGTGTATTATCTTGCAAGCAGTGATTCAGACTTAACCGTTCCCACTGCAGTGTGTAGGACTCTCCTCCTATTTCATTGACATAAAAATACACACCAGTATGTTATAAATAGTTCTTTAGTGTTCCTGGAGATTTATGGTGGATAGATGCTTTCTGAATGTCCATTGAGAGATAAGTCCAACCGGTCATATTTAAAGTTATTTGGCTTTCTTACAACTGGCATTTTATTGCCAGTAATAGAATGTTAAGGATTCTAATAGGATCTTCTGGTTGCATAGCTGGAGTTGATTAAGTGCAACATGTTCATTCTGGAGGGCTGCTTCAATCACCAGAAAAAGTAGGTTAGGTGACTACAGACCAACTTGTCGTTGACACGAATTCCTATGATTAATAATAAAAAAGCCTGACTCACTATCAATACCCGTGCTACTGCTACCAACTGGAGTTACATTTTTGTTAAGAACAAGAGGAATAAGAGAGGTTTTGAGGTCCCCATAGGTATTCCTGTGTTGGCATTAAGTGCTGGAAAAGTCAACTTTTGACCTGACAGTTGTGAACGGACAATGTAGGTGGAAAAGCATGGCAGGGCTGCAACTGGAGAAGCAGCACTAGGGAGATAACAGCTTTCCCTGCCCCTTACTGCTATCTTCGTTCCTACCAAACGTTTTAATCTTTGACCAACATTTTGGATGCAAAACAAGATTTTGCAAATCTAGGGTAATGGAACGAATAAGTTCTGTTACGATGCCTGACTCTTTGACTCTTCCTGCTGCATTCCCCTTTAATTTCATAAACCTGAAGCGTTTCTAGAGCCTCACTCATCTGATACTGCCTAATGGCCTAAAATGTGATTTAACATTTATTTGGATACTTCACTGCTGTCATGTTGGACAAGCAGCAGAAGTAAACTTTAATTTCAAACTTATTTTGTAGCTTTGTCATTGTCTGAGATTTCCCACTTCCTCCTCCTTTTTTATGGATCCTACTAATGAATAAAGGTTTGAGGGCAGAATAGCAGTTAATAGAACAGTGAACTACAGCATAATTTTAGTCTTGTGTTGCTGCTGTGGGATTTCTAATAGCATTAAATCGTAGGCTTGCTGATTTTGAGATTTTTAGATTAGTTTCTGAGTCTTAGTTCTCTCCTTCTTCTTTCCAAGAAACTCCAAAGAATAAACTCGCAAAAAGACTTTGAACACTCACTACCCATGAAGGTATAATCATTTCATAGAACAAAAGAAATCAATGCCTGAGAAAAAGAGCTTATGCCTGTGCGAAAAAAAGCTGTCCTTTTGCTGCTTTTGAATGCAGTTATAAAATTACAGTGTTCTGGGAGCTAAAGAAAAGAAGATACCATAGAGGAAAGCAGTTAAAGTTTTTGATTTTTTTTGAGGGATGTTATAATTTAGTTTCTTAGAACTAACAAATAAAGTAGTTCATGAAAGGGATTCAGGAACTGAGTGCAATAATCACTGTTCTCATGTTGAATAACGAAGACTGATGCCTACATTTCCTGCTTATTTCCTGCTGTGTGGAAAAATGTCTCTCATTTCTATGAAACTTTGGTTTTGGAAACATTTCAAGTTCATCCATTGAAATAAAGATTTTTTTTTAATGTATTATTTTAACTAGAAATAGTTTAACGCAGATAAATGATAGTCTAGTGATTATGAGAAATCACGTATGATTGGATCTTTTGTATTTCTGTGTGCAAATATGACTGAGCTTTTCTCCCCTATTTTCTAAGTCTGCAGGTGGATGTTTTCACTTCCTGTATTTTGACAGCTCTAGTATGGGTTTTTCCAATCTCTTGGAGCTTTTCTGTTCTTCAAAAACAGTCATCTCTCATTCAGGAAATTTCATCAGAATACATCTTCAGTGAAATGAGTAGTCTAACCACTTGGCTACAATATGAATTTCTCTGACCTAGTGAACAATTTATTGTTTGTAGAAAGGGGAGCAGCTTCTGTCTTCAATGCGTAGAGAGCAACCCATTGCAAAGTAAACCGTATGGTATGAAAGGGTGATGTCTAGAACTTGGGAATATTTGTTTATTTATTTATTTAAACCTCATCAAGACAGACATTTAAAAGCATCCAAGTTTCCAGGGACCACTGAGCTACCAACTGTTCTAAGGTGAATTCTCGTTAGATTTTTGTCTCCAAAAAATGCCCTTCTGTGAAACTGTTAACTTCGGGTAAAGAGCTTGTTTTTTGACATTTAGCTGAAAAATTCTTACCTGGTCTTCCATACATGATTTGCAAACTGCTAGTGAAATAATTTTACATGAGTGTATTTTACTTTTCATTTGCAGTATAACACTTGTTCTAGATGCAAGAAAAGGGCCCCCTGTTTCCAGTTGCTTATTTCTTTTTCTTCTTCTAAAATTTGATTTGAAGTGACATCTGTGAACACAGTGGGTTTTTTTTTGTTTTCTTTCTAAGAGGCACACATTCTTCTACCTTTGAAACTGTCTTAAGTGTTTCCTCCTTTCATTTTGGATTGCCAAATGAAATGATAAAGCCTGAACTAACCGACAAACCATTTCTCCTCTTTAGGAGTTTGAATTGTAAGGGTTTAGAACTTGTAATTGTGACAAAACCTGTGGTTGTGAACTTGTAGATCATAATTTAAATAAATAATATGTATCATAAATAATTTAGATCATAATTTAAATAATTTAAATTTATTTAAATTTAATTAAATTATGATCTACAAGCTTTTTATCATAAATTAAAAAAAATGTGCTAATGTTTTTACCGAAAAATATCTGCTTGGAAAAATATGTTGTGGGTTTATTGCCTAAATTAAACCATTAGGTAGTTAATACTGCGATCACAGAATCATAATAACTGGTAATAATTAGCATAACCTGTTACACTGGGAACAGATCTAGTTCTTGGTGAAATTAGTGGATATGTTCTTAGGTTAAGGGGAACCCTGAAACTCCCAGTAAAGTACTGTAGCATGAACTCCCATCTTACATTCAAGGTATATTTTGTGCTATAGTAAAGGAAATGATACATTAAGATGAAATTACTTTCACTGATAGTTGCTAATCTGTACCCAACTATGAAAAATTAGTAAGATCTCTGTTCAGTTCACTGTTTTTTGTTGTGATCTAAGTTTCAGTAGTTCTTTCAAGACAGGCTTTGTAGTAGCATGTGGACCTCAGAAATGCTTAGATGTCTAACTCTTATTTTGGTTGGTTGTATTAAAACACTTAAGGACTTCTCAGGGTATGGATATAGCTCTTGATCCTGCAACGCTAAACTGCCAAATGCTGGGCTTACTAATGTCTGTAGTCCAATTATTGCCCATAGGACTGTGAAGGTTAGTAATAAATACCCTGGGGAGCGTGGTTTTCCTGAATTAGGTGCTTGTTGTTAATTAACATGGTGTTCTCTGTAATTTTTGGCACCTATTTTCTCATCCATTGAGTTAACATCAGATTCTGAATGGGGATTTGCATGGGAAATACTACTTTTGATTTATGTATGCAGTGAAAATAGTTAGAGACTTATCTGAAGCGACCTGTATTTGCCTTTTGCTCTTACTCACCCACAGAACCCTCAAAGCAATAACTGTTCACATGCTAGGATCATTTATGAGAATTGTTGACCTACAAAATTCAAATTTTCTTGCTCACTTCCTTTTCATACATTAGGTCCTGTTACTGAAGTCAAAACAGATATATATGTCACCAGTTTTGGACCTGTTTCTGATGTAGAAATGGTATGTATTTCTGGAATTAAAATGCCATTTCCTGGTGCTGAGAAACGGTTAAACTGCAGTAAGGCATGGATGCTTAATTCCTGTGTCTTTGTACTGTTCTGTCGATCATGCAAAGAAGGCAAGATTAGCAGCAGCTTAATTTAATTAGGTACATCAGGCCTGATTCTGGTCACTTGCACTGGTTTTCGGTTAGTGTAAGGAATGGAATTCATGGGATTTACAGCAGATTTTCTTGGTGTTGTGGCAGAATCAGGCCCTGTGGGGAGCATCTAAGTGTGCTGCTGGGAAAACAAGTAATACTTTTGAAGTTGCTTTTCCTTTCTGAAGTCTGTAGTATTCTCAGGTGAATAATAATTACAACATTTCACAAATACTTGTTGGTGTTTTCATTTTGAATGAATTCTGTTTGCCCATCTTTGTGCCGCTTTTAGGGTCACTTTCAGCACATGTTTGAGTGATAAGAGTTTTCATAAGTGTCTACAGGAATCAAAAGTCAAAATGGCATGCAAGAAATAGTCACAGAAGACAAACGTTACATTTGCACGCATGGTTATTTGTACCTGAAAGGCACCTGCATTCGTTTGAGGTCAAATGCAGCGTAACTGTCGTCAAATTCTATAATGCAGGCCTATTCCTTTAAATTGCACGACGGTTTCTCTTTTTAGAAAATAGTTCAAGAAATCACCCAGAAGCAAGACAGCCATATATACATTATATATGTTTGCACTTTTTTAAGGGAAAGGCAATTTCAGAGGAGCAATTTCAGAGGCTTTCCATGCAGTGCCATCCTGTACTTTGTTACACCTGATTTGGTTCTGATCATGCAGAAAGTTATATGATAGCAAGATGTTTTTCAAGGGCTAGATTGTCACAGCAATCTCCTGTTGAATCACATCTCACATCCTCAGTGGTTGTCAGGTACAGTATGAGGCTGTTCAGTGTGACTAGAGGTGTAAGAATCTAGTCCCAAGAAAATCTATTAATGAATGTGCTTCAACTAAAAAATGAAGGCTACATGTGATTTCTCTGGTTACAGTGAAGCATTTGACATGGTGCCATGTGGGAAATTATTAGTTATATTGGAGAAGACAGGAATGCAAACAAGAACTGTAAGGTAGGTAAGGAACTGGCAGAAGGAGAGTTTACCACAGGTAGTTATGCTTTCAGCATTATCAAGCAGTTAGGAGACTATTCAAGGATCCAAGGATTGGTCTTGGAAGGATTTTTAGTTAATGTGTCCCTTCGTGACCCAGTATCATCTGACTGTAACTGCATTCATAAAACTTGCTGAAAGAACAAAATGTGAGGTACTCTTACTGCAGGAGAAGATAAGGATGTTTTTTAGGGCTGGTTTACTTCGGTACCCAGTATAATGAAATATTTTGAAATCTTACATTACAAAATCTGTCATGTAGAAGCTAATAACAGAAACTGCTATTATGAAATATGAAACCATCAGCAAGAATTGAAAATAGAAGAGAAAGACTTTTCGTAGGTTAACTGTAAACCACAATGGATGTTGCAGCCATGGAAGAGAGGACAAGTACAGTTCTACGATGCCGTATGCTAGTAGAGATGCGTTGTTGCCCATGTGAATAGAAATGGCCGTACAAGTAAAGTTTCAATGATAATGCTGTGCAGAAGAGTTTGAAATGAAGTCAGAAAAAAATGATAATTTTAACACAAAATTGCAGTTACGAGTTTGAAAAAGGTAACAAGGAAAGCTTTAGGTCCTTTCTGTGTCATATGAAACATATTTTGTGAAGTGCTTTAGTCTGCCAAGATGAAAAATATATAAACATACAGGTGAAGGAATGGGTGAAGAAATGCGATGTACATCTTGCAGTGTACTCTTGGCTGCAGTTCTGCCGTTGTTGTTTGCATGTATTCCTTAGAATGGCTTTTTTGGGAAAGTTGATGGGATGGTCATGTAATTAGAAGCAAAAATACATATACAAGTTAATATATTATGTTTTACCTATGTTTTGTGGATGTGGCAAATCATAAAAATATTTAGCTTTTCTCGGGTGAAAGCTTACTTTAAAACCTGCCTGACTCTGAAGTGGAAGTAGTTGCTTGTCCTGATATATTTAATTTAGTCAGCTGCAAAAGATCCATGGATGTATTTTCTTTAAAATTCTATTGACATTTATTGTCACATAGATCATTTGGTTTCCAGTTATATGCCTGAGTAGAAATTCAATTGCCTGCTTCCTACAATCTTATTAGAGTAATTATTCCTTAATGATTAAATGTGTGTAGCAATTTATTGATATGACTAATGTGGGAAATTGAGCTATTAGGAAGTATGCAACTCACTGTAATTTGTGAAAATATATTTGTGCAGTGGACTTAACATTTTCTTTACTACTGATTTCTTTGCTTCTGAGGGATTTCTTTTTTACAGGAAACATTTGTAGGTGGAAATGTAATCTTTGTTTTTCTGCAATTTAATACAGGAGTATACAATGGATGTCTTCTTCCGTCAGACATGGGTAGACAAAAGATTAAAATATGATGGCCCTATTGAAATTTTAAGACTTAACAACTTGATGGTTTCGAAGGTGTGGACACCTGACACTTTCTTCAGGAATGGGAAAAGGTCTGTTGCACATAATATGACAGCCCCAAATAAACTCTTCAGAATAATGAGAAATGGCACCATCCTGTACACAATGAGGTATCCAACTTGCTTGTTCATCTTCTTACAATTACTGTATGCAAAAGTTATGCTGCCTAGACAAAATGGCAACCAGAGACTATTCAATTTGTTCCATTATAGGCTTACAATAAGTGCAGAGTGTCCCATGAGATTAGTGGATTTTCCCATGGATGGTCATGCTTGTCCTCTCAAATTTGGGAGTTGTAAGTTGCAATTATGAAATTTCTTGTAACTACAGCTTTAAATAATAGAAGTAGATGTTGAACAATTATGAAAATTTCTGAATATTAATCTTGACCCCCAATCCTTACACAGACAAAACTCCTGTTAAGTTTCTCAGGAATTTTATTTAGGCCCTGAGCCAGTGATTCAGCTATTATATTAAACCCCGGTATTCTGGCTTTACTATTGCTTGAAATACGTGTTTTTTTCCCAATTCTTAGGGGTGAATTGAAATACTCAGTAAAGTCAGAAATCCTCTGGAGAAGACAAAGAGGGTGGGATCCATCTGACCTTAAACAGCCAATAACAGTTAGACACCTAGGGAAGCTAAATGTATTTGGCTTTCTGTCCAGGCAGTGGAGGCAGATTGACACCCTAAGAGAGATTTGTAGACTGTAAAGGATTGATCTTAAGTTGTATTTGGGTATCACCTAGGCTATTGGGAGGAGTCTGTATGGCTTGTTTAGACTAAATAAGTAATTTTTAGAGTGGTGAGACGAGGTGAGAGGAACCTTAGTGCAGGTGATTTTCCTTTTCTGTTTTGAAGTCAGATGTAGATTTTTGAATAATCTCCAAAATTTTGCTAGGAGGAACGTTTTGGAGGAACATATGCCACACAACAGAGGGAAGTAGTTAGATTCCCTGATTTGAATCCAGAGCAGAGATGTTTGAGACTACTTGGGAGACTGTTGGAGCACTCCGTTATCCATCCTATCACTCTACTAAGCCGCCTCAGTTACTGAGTTCCTCTGCGTTACACTCTGGTGTAATCAGTGGCTGGGCATTAACCTGTTTTCCTTGGCCCCACAATTCTGAAGACGTTAGGAATGGCAGGAAACTACTCATACTTTTTCTTTGCATAAATTTAGCTTATACAGCTGAGTAGTCGAGCAGAGGGGGGATTTTAGAGACAGTGCTCTAGTAAGACTTTTCTTCCCAGATACAGTGAGGTTGGAGGCCATATGCTGCCAGAAGTGGCTATATACTATCAGCTGTACATCAGCTATATACTAGGGGAGCTTCAATAGTGGGGACTCCTCCACAGGCAGATTTCTTCAGGCAGAATCGCCAACCGGCAGAAATTGTATATGACACTAATCTGCGATATTCTCAGTGCTACTTGAAATAAGATGTAGCCATTTCAGATGCAAGGCTGTGATTGAATTTAATTTTAACAGGAGTTTGGGCTGTGTAGTGATTGAATGGTAGGCCTAAGTTATGTCTTTTGTATTAAATGTTGGAATGTTTCCTGGGGTCTGTTTATTTTTGGGTTACTGTGAATCTTTTACTGACCTCTGGTTTCTTGCAAATATATCTTTTTTAAGTGACAATTTAGCTATAATCATTATTTCCTGTATAGAAATATATCCCTAGTCTCCAAAATGTATCCTCCTTATACATGTTCTTTTTTATATCAGTATATTTTAATGATAAAATTTCAGATAGAGAATTTCTAAAATAATTTAAAGGTAAACTTTACATCCCTAATAGATAGATTGGTCCTGAAAGAACTCATGTCTAGACTTCACATTCAAATGTGAAGTGAATTTGTGTGACACTTGATGTATAACCTTAGCTGATATTTATTGTTATCTGAGGGTGTTTTTTTGTGGTAACTTAAACATGAAAGCTGTCTTCTAAAGATGTTAGTGTAAGTCTTGCCATTGATTTCAGTATGTTTGGTCTGGGTTAGGGTGTGAGGAGTAGTTTCCTATTTAAGCAAACTGATGCTATGTTGTTGTAGATGCATATCCAAAGAGTGAAATGATTTATACCTGGACAAAAGGACCTGAGAAGTCAGTGGAAGTTCCTGAAGAGTCTTCCAGTTTAGTTCAGTATGACCTGCTTGGGCATACTGTATCCTCTGAAACTATTAAATCTATTACAGGTAGGAATCTCATCAGTAAAAAACATTTTGAGGTAAAACTAACTCTGTAATATTGACCTAGCCTTTTTTCTTTTTTTCCTGTAATGTGTTTTAGTGAATCTCATAGGGTGTATATTAAGCACTGAGAACATCAATTATAATCAGGTTTTTGTCCTTCAGATTTGCATTTGCAGGTTCACTGCAGCAGATTGCAAAGGCCTTTCAGAAAGCTAGAATCAGATCACTACTCCAAGGGACAAAATGAGTATTTCTAATCACTGCTTAAAATGCAGTTTGAAGAGTCAAGAGGATGCTTGGGTGAGGAAGTCATTTCTCAGCACTGTATCCGCATTATGTGCAAAAGACTTTGTTTGGTGGTGCAAACAGCTCGGGATAGAAATACAGCATGCAGAATAGGTTATTAAAACCATAAAAAGCTCTCTAGTCAGATAAGGATAGGCACAAATGCATTAGTCACAATAGATACTTCTGCTGATTTTTGTACTGTAAGAAATAAGGCAAATGGCAACAACAGGCAGCCTGAATGAGTAAAATCTCACTGATGAGCAGTTTGGTGATAAACAATCATGTTCCCAAAATATTTTTCAAATTTGGAATCATTTTCTCAACATCAGCAAGTTTGGGTGTTGTGAGATTGTTGTAATTGAACAGATAAAGCAAATGTATTTGACATTGCTCTATGGATACTTTTCTCAAAGACAAAACAGTGTTTTGCAATACCCTGGAAACAGATCTGTCAACATATCAATTCTTACGAGTTAGCAAAACAGTTTCCTTACTACACCCCAAATGCCTTTTCTGTAGTGCTTTTATTTGGACAGTTTATTAATTTATGGTAAAATTGCAAATTTTCCTTTAGTATGCATGATAAGGTTTATATACATGTACAGCATTTTTAATTATTGTTAATGATTTTTGCATTTATTTATGTTTCATTATCACAGTGGTACTGATGCATAAACCTAGTAGAAAGCTTAGATTCTTCCATCTCATTTAATATGCATCATTGTTATAACTGTTCTAGTTGCCCTATACGTACCGCAGTGCTCCGGATATAATGGGAGGTAGGTATCTTGTGTCTTCTCCTCAACAGATGCCAAAAGAATTTTAAAATCATGCTTACGCTATAAAAAGTGTCCAGTATTATCCATGCAGTATTTTCAATACCAACTTCAGAATGGCACTGTAAAGACCTACTACGTTGTGGATTTTTTATTTACAACTTACTTTCTTGTCTCCAAAAGAATGTATCTTCCTGTACACGTTAAGTGCTGTGGATAGCATCTTCTTAAGCAATCCTAACTGATTGTCTGAAACATAGTTATTCTGCTACACAAAAATTGTATGCAGAGACAGGAAAAATATCTTCCTTTTTTTTTTTCAGGTGAATATGTTGTTATGACAGTTTACTTCCACCTCAGACGAAAAATGGGTTATTTTATGATTCAAACATATATCCCATGCATTATGACCGTCATCCTTTCTCAAGTTTCATTTTGGATAAATAAGGAATCTGTTCCGGCTAGAACTGTGTTTGGTAATTACTACATTTTACTTTTTCCTTTTATTGTACTTCATGTTTCAATGATTTTCAATAGCATAGTCCTTTTTAGTGTGCAAGGTATATACTAGCTTTGTAATGGTGCAGAAGCAAGGTCGTAAGGTAAATTCAGAGGAACTCTTGCTATCCGTGTATTTATATATATGAAGACTATACCACTTGAAGTCTTGGAATGTGGAGAGAAACTTGGAATATTTAACCTGAAGGGTAGCGTGGTAGCCTGTGGCAAACAGGTGTACATCTTTTGGGATGTTAGATGCTTGGAGAAGCAAATCAAAAAAGCCTGGCCCTGGGCAGTGCAATCAAGTCCTTTGTCTGCATCCAGGGTAGTTTTATCCTCCACTGAGCAGTATTGTGATCACTTGAAGCATAACTTCTAAAATCCCATTAAAATACTTTGACTGCGGATGTGTGAGATTATGTACAGATATCTTACGAGATAGGTGTCATGAATGGAAGTTTCCTATCAGTAAGGCTTAGATCCTATTACTGTAATTTCGTGTTTAGTGATCTTCTCTCCTTCCTCCCATTGCCGTTATGAAAATGAACTGAAAAGCAATTGGGGAAATGATCACAAGATATTAAAATTGAACTCATCAAAGTACAGTTTGAAATGACATGCTGCAGTGAACACTGAAAATAAAAAATAAAAAAGCTTCTATGGAATTAAAAATAAGAAATTAAATGGAAATATGGTCTCTAACAAAGGAGTAGGATAAAAACATGGTTAAAATCAGTCTTTGCAAAGCAGATGTCTTGACTTTGCGACAAGGTACTATATTCTAAAGTAAGATTAGTCAAGAGGAGAGCATTCTAGTGAAAACCTTACTATAAGTGTATGTTGGCAAGAATTATAGAAATTAATGTTTCTACATGACAGCCTGTACAAACACGTAAATAAAGTCTAAACACTAGCACCACAAATTAGACAGGGTTAATGATCAGTTACAGGAACTCCCCCCACACCTAATAAGAACTCCATTTGCTCTCAACTCAAGCATTCCATTAGGCAAACAAATATATCACTTAACACACTTTGGCAGTAGTGTTGAATAATAATACTTTTCAGAATGGAGTAATGCCATGAGCTAGAAAAGAAATCTGCATTTACAAACAAAATTTGGTAGTTGAGATGTACAACTTACAGAGCAATAGATGCAATAAAGCTCATTTTATCCATATATGAAACCGGAAACAAGTAATAATAAAGTTTAGACATCCACTAAGTTACAGATAAGTATCTAAAATGCCTTTGAAAACAAATGGCTTAAAGTATGGCTCAAAGTGTCTTTTTGGTTTTCTGACAAATGCCAGAAAGGAAGGATTCTATTTTCTAAAGGTGTTCTTAAAAGAAGACAGAAATACTTCAGGCAAGAGATAAGAACGAAGCCAGAGTATCTCCTGTGGTACTGGGTGTCTACAGGAGCTGCTAGAAGAGGCTAACCAAAAGATCTTTCCCTTGGACACTGCACAAATAGGGAGAACTTGGCAAGCTTAACAAAGGAAGGATACTCAAGGAGCAGTCTAGGGAGTTCACGCAGGATGTCTGTTGCTGTGGGAAGGATTTGGAACATAATGCTCTGTGGATGCTCTTCATGTGGAACAAAGTTATAATAATTAGGTTTTGCAATATATTCTGAAGCTTTACCAGGTGAACAATGCATGGCTCAGAGTTAAGATCCAGAGAATGTCTTTTTAAATATTTTTTATGAATATTATCAGTAACTAAGTATCTGTAATATGCTCCTGGAATAGGAGGTAGGGATGCCCAGTCTCCGGCTTACAAGCCAGATGTATGACACCTAAGCAGTTTATTTTGCTGATGAACTGCTCTTTCTAAGCCTACCTCATAAGGGAGCAGCTTGTTAGGCATCATCTTTCAGCACGCTTTTTCCTCAAAGACATCGTGACCCCTTGCTTTTGTATGATGTCCACTGTAGGAATCGAAATGTAGATGTTCAGATGTGTGAGGAGCACTTATCTGGACATGGGATTGGACATGCAAGCAAGTTCTCATCATGCACCTTTGTACTCAGTCATCTGACTGGGCAAAGCATCACCATATGACGTGGGCCACTTCTAGTTTGATCACAAAAACACTGAATGTCCTGGAATATAGGCAAGGAGCTGTGGCATATGTCCTTCAGGTTCCTCTGTGAGAGGCTATGAGACCTCCACAACCCAAAAAAGCAGGGTGTCACTGTTGCAAGTAAATCAGACCAGGCATGCCCGAGCTGGGAGAGCTGTCAGGACCCTCAATTCATCTGTACAAGTCAGAATCAGGAGTGCGGGAGCAAAGATGATACCTGTAGGACCCTTATTCATTAGGTATGCTATGTTCCCTCCATCACCATTTAGGCACTTCAGGCTGTTTTCTCTGCTCTCCCTGTCAGATTTATAAGCTCTTTGAACTAAAGCTTTTGTGTTAGCACTGAGTTCAAAGTTTTCATTAAAACCTGGTATCCTTCAGTGCCTGCTGGCTGCTACCTTTTTTTCTGAAAAATAAAATCACTTATGACACCATCATCATAGAAGCACGATATCCCTGTAAGTTTTGATATTTTATAAGTACTAGTTATCTCAGGAAGACAAAGTTAACTCCCTCTGTTGTGGGTCCAATTTATTAACAAACACAGTTTGTTTTTATAAGCCAGAGAAATCTGTGGGAACATTGCTGTTATATAAGCTTATATTCTAAGTTCACTAGACCTGTTTATGTAAATGGAGTTACACAAGGAGTAGTGAATTACACTTTCATACAGACTTTATGCTCTGGTGTCAGAATGCTTAAGTACAATAGTAAAATAACCTTTTTAAGATACATCAGGTCATGGTTTGTGCAGTCAGAGCTCTAGACACCTGAATCTGATAATTGTGGGAGACTGGTGTTTCTCAGATGAAATGCAGAAGTAATTTTCTCTTTCATACATTTTTTTAAAAATTAATTTTTATAGTAAAATACTCTTAGTGTCTTTTTATATGGTTATGTGCATATCTGATCAAAAACTTGCAAGCATTTAGCTTTGGATAATTATAGTTCATGTGCATATATAATATTTTTAGCTGAACCTAATTATCTACCCTGCAAATTGCTATGCACATATCCAAGGGCGATTGCAGTGGCAACTGCAAGACTCCTGTAAGAATGATTTATTTGGGGGAAAGCTGGTAATGACTGTGTCAGTAAACTAGATAATATAGTAGGGACCGGCTCCCTCTTGCTCTTTTTTGAGGAATGGTTGGTCATTCAAGCCACTTCACCCTATTCTTACTCTTATTAACAATATGTCCTTTTAATTATTATTATTAAAACAGCTTAGTCAAACCTTTTGCTTGAAGTGGACAAAGAAACCCAAAAGGATGGAGCTAAGCAGAGAACGGTCTCTGCCAGAAAAAATAAACTTTCTATTGAATTTTTCTCAGAACTAAGCATTTTGCTATTAGTGTGCTTTCTCACTGAGTGTCTTCTCACTGAAGAAGATAAAAGCTCACAAAACCTATGTTTTCATCCTGCTGAGTTTGCTCTGAGATTGTGTGTGTGTGTGTGTGTGTGTGTGTGTGTGTGTGTGTGTGTGCGCGCGCGCGCGTGTGCGTACGCGCTTCTGTAAACAGCACTTTTTTTTTTTCCTCCCGGAGAAGATGCTAGAAGATGGCTTCCTTGTGTCCTGTTCTCTGTATGGCAGAGTCTGGGTGAAACTTTTTTGTATGAGATTACCTGGGTGGGATATGCCCATCTGTGGAATTGGGGAAGTGAGAATTCTGTTGGAAAACATGTTCTTAGTTATTTTTTACATATACTTATAAGTATATGCATTTCCTCTTGAATTAAAACGGTTACGGTTTTCATAAAATAGTGAAGATATCTCCATTTGTAGTCCGTTTTCCTTCAGGTTATCGTGGGAGGCCTTAGGCAGTATTCACTGTACACTAGGTGTTTTATATTTGAAAGATATGTGATTCTTGATCTTGTAACTACTCTTGGAATATTTTGGATGAAAAAAAGGAAAACTCACACCTTGGTTGTATACAGCATGTGTTTGCATTTGAAGTATTACTGTGAAGTGGCCATATTTTGAGCTCAGTGTTCATGCATGTACACTTTAATTAAAGCTGTTCTTTCAGAAGATGAAATGTTAATTGAATTTCATCGCTCCACTAGTAGCAGAAGGGTTTAAAAGATAAGGTGATGGTTTGCTAATTAACAGAGTTGTCAACATAATATTCTAGTTTTTCTTAGCAGAAAATAGTTTGCCATGATTTAATGCCACCTGGATTATGAGTGGGATCAGAGGAACACACACTGAGTAATAGGTAGTATTCTAAAACTATTAGAGGGAAAATTATGTTTTGGTTTTAGTCTGAAGAGCACAGTACTCTGTACATAATTTAAGGTGTTTAATAGCAAATGTTTAGAAAATAATTATTGATTGTAAGAAATCATATCTGACTTGACATGAAGAAAATATGAAGTGAAGGCTTCCACATTTACTTGATGTGAACTGTAGGTGATCTGCAGAAGTCGTGGCTTTCTATGCATTCTTTAAAAAGTCGTAACTGTTCTTTGTGCGTCACCACTCATGGGTACATGGTGGTTGCCATGACTTAAATCTAATGCGCTCTTCACAAGCAGCAGAGAAAGATTTACCCCTTTTTTCTTAATCCAGTGAAGAAATGAGCTGTCAGATATGGTTCTTTTCTGTGTTACACAGCAGTTCTTTTTTTTCCTTTAATGGAGGATGGATGTTTGAGTGGAGGATCTTTGAGGGTCTTAAAGCTGTCATATTAAGCAAACAGAAGGAGCAATATCTGAGAGCAAGATCTGTATCTTGGTCAGTGGAATTACGTCATGCAGCATTTTGCAGTCCTGGGACAGTATAGCTGAGTTATTTTATATTATGTTATTGCCTGTGTTGATTTAAAAGTGAAAAACCCTAGTATAATTTTTTTAATTGAACACTGAGATTTTATTTCATTCACCATTGAAATGATATGAGTGGCACACTCAATTAAATGACTTTTATAGTAGTATTTTGCAATGTAACTGTACTTCTTTTGTTCGTGCTAGTAGGCTTTACACTCACAGGTGCAAGGTTCTCAAGTGATTTAAAATTCTTTGTTTGAGGCTACTTGCTTATTTTTATTCTCACTTTGATCTCTCTGGTTTCAGCAATGCTTTTGCTTTGTTTCTTTGAAGGAATAACCACAGTGTTGACAATGACTACACTGAGCATCAGTGCAAGACATTCATTGCCAAAAGTATCCTATGCTACTGCCATGGACTGGTTCATAGCGGTTTGCTTTGCCTTTGTGTTCTCTGCTCTTATTGAGTTTGCTGCTGTCAACTATTTTACTAATATTCAAATGGAAAAAGCCAAAAAGAAGACAGTAAAATCCCTCCTTGAATTTCCGGCTGCTCCAATACAGAGAGAGAAAAGTACAGAAGGGACACTCATGGTACGTTTTCAGCTTATACAAATATTTTCCTTCTTTTTGGCAGTGTTTCTCAGTAAAACCAAGCCTTGAACTTCCTCCCAAGCTCCCGCTGATCTCCATATCCTCCCTGCATTCTGGTATTCTCTCTCACACTAGCAGTTCAAAAATTGAAAAAAATTCTTCAGCTTAATCCCACTTGATCTTGTCCATCCTGGCCCAACCCAACAGACTTTGATGATCTGCTCAGAAGTGTAAAATAAAACAGTAGAGCTTAATTTAGTTTCCCTCAGACACGGCCACATGGGAGGTGAACACTTTTCATTCATGCATCATTCTTCAGAAACTGGATCCAGTTGAAAGTCTTTAGGGGCTGGTTTCTCCCCTGAACATAATGTAAGTCGGCGTAACAAAAGATTAATGCTACGCTATTTTCATTGATAAAATCCTGTGAAACATTATTTAATTCTTATTTGGTTTGGAGTAATGGCTGATTGGATTAGCTCAGAGGAGAGGAGGAGGTTGCGTCCCTCAGTACGTGCAGTCTCTTTGTTCTTCTATATTTACTCGATTTTTGCTGAAGGCCAGTTACAGCGGGTATCTTTAGTCAGCTGTTCCTTTCCCTTTGCATATTGCTTCCAGCTGGACTGCTTATACAGTTGATGATACTACTGGTTATAAAGATGGCATTATATCCAACATTGTTAATGACTTAAAATGAATTAAAATATTCTAAAGCATTGCAGTTGTACCATGAAGCATCTCCCTAGCTATCACGGTTCTCCTTTGTTTGCATGTATCACTTGCCTGGAGTTTTATTTCTTAATCAGTTACATTTTTGGAAAATTTTGAAGAATGCTGGATGAAATGTTTGTATCTGCCATAGATAGCCATTTTCAAGTAACTTGCTTCTCTTTGCACAGGAGCTCACCTCTGCCTTTGAAAAAGATTTGTTTAGTGGAGTGCTTTTCGCTTTAGTAGTGCTTTGGGTTAAGTGTGACTGTGTGGTAGCTATCTTAGTGTGTGGGCCAGTTAATAAGGACTTGACCTCATTTCCGGTTGAATTCACCACTGATTCTCCTTTCCTCCCTTGTCTCATTCCCATATCCTTACTAGCTGCTGCATTCCTCCTTCTGTTCATCAGACGCCTAGCTAACAAAGCCATTACAACACTTGTACTAGGTTGGTCATATGGTAGGCCAGTAATTCCCGTTTGTAGCTGGCTGTCTTCGCAGCTCCACTCAGGAAGTGGAAGGCTGACAGCAGCATTGTAATTTACCCTTTCTGTCAGGCTGACTATCTAATTTTCTTTGAGCCAGGATTTAAGAGCCACAGTTTCAGACTAGCTCTTGATAATTTTGTCTTCTGTCCCTTTTCACATCTCATTTGTCTCCTTCCCTATTCATCTGCTCTTTTTGTCTTCCCACCCCTTCCATTTGCTATCACTCCTCAGCTGCTGTCCACCCACTTCCATTTTCCTTCCTCTTCTTTGCTCTCTTACCATATATCATTGCCATTTTCAGTCTCCTGGCTGTGTTGTTCTGTTAGCTCCCAATTCTACTTAAAAGGTAGATGTGCTCCTGAAGCATGTTACCCATGTCCTGAAGCACATTACACATGTCAGTTTGTTTTCTGCTAGTAAGAAATTGGAGCAAGAAAAGGAATGCTTATAGTAGCATGCTATTCTACTTGTTCATAGAGAGATTAGTGCTGTTGGTTTATGCTAATCTTGATTGTACAGCATGCAGTTTTAAAACAGCATCTCAGTTTCTCATGGTGAAAGTTAATAAACATTGCTTTTAGAGATAGTCAAGTTTTACTTGGCCTTATAGGAAAATAAATTGCAACCTAATAACAATTTCATCCTAGATTTATTTATGAGACCTGATTAAAACATGAAAAAAATAGTAGTTTTGTCAGGTAGTAATGATGGCGACTTAACAAATCCGCTTTGATCAATGGTCAGAATTGCTGTAAGTCAGTCTTATGTTCTGCTTAGCTATTTACATAAAAGTCTTGTGGAAAGACTTATTAAAAAAAAAGAAAAACCCTCACCTGACTTTATTTAAAGCTGAGGAAATTGAGATGTGAACAGCTCTGTTCTGCTGCTAAATTAATATCCTTGTGATACCTGTGATAGTGTGCGTAGAGGATTTTGAGACCTTGAAAGCGCTCAAGGGAATAATCCACTCTTCTGAAGGTCTGCACGTTAGTATTATGAGTGTGTAAGCCAGTGATAATGTTAATATTATGTTAAACTTCTATTTTTATGACTTTTCCTCCAATCATACTATGTTAAGACTTGAGTCTTTTCTTTTCCAGGACAGATGTATAGGGTGAGCCTGCTGATACTGTTACAGAGGTTTAGCTCTCTTGCAAATGCTCGTTTGTCCAGTTAATGACTGACTGGAGGGTGACTTTTGTCCTTGTGTCCTGCTACATGGAGCAGGTCAATAGAAGCTAATATGGCTGTTGTGCAGCTCGGAAGGCAAAGTCTATGTAACACAAATCCTTCTCCCTAAAATTTTTGTGGTTCTAGTTCTAAAAGGCTAATCTAGAGTAGTGTTATGCCTTGGTATGAATGTGATTTTTTTTGAATATATACGATGTAATCAGTGCTGATATAACACAATCTCAACTTCATTGTGAGTTTTTGGTCCACAAAGAATATAGGACAGTAGCCTGACTTTAGTATACAGCCTGTGTTATTTCCCAGCATAAACACTACTCATTTTGTTAAACAATAGACTTTGATTTCTTATCTCACTTTAGTATTTAGAAATCTGTCCTACGTTGCCATTATTGCGCTAGAATTCTAGTGTTAGCAATGCAACCGTCAGAGCTCAAAGAAAAGTTTTATTTTTAACTTGTTTTTATTTTTATTTTTTTATTTTTAACTTGCCAGTCTCTCAAATTTTTCGTTTAGCCCAGGAAGAAATGCGAATATCCTGAGAGTTAGAGTATAGATTAGGAAAGAAGGAGCTTAAATACTTACACCAGAAAGAACTGTAAGGTTTATGTCTTGAAATTTGCAGCCTGCTTAGAATTTTCCCTTATGCCTGTTGGCCCCATGCTGTTGTCTGCCTTGAAAAGGCATGCAGCTGGCTGTACTGTCTTTTCATAGTTGAGGTTCCCGATGTGTAGGTCCCCTGAGAACAACAAAAATACAGAACAGTTGAAGCTGTTACAGAAGATGAGCAAGGCACTAATATACTTCTAAATGGGGGTGGGCTGTTGATTGTACATTATACAGTGGACAATTGTATGTTTGGCTTTTTCCAGTAAATGCAGTGAGATCATTACAGAAAAGATTTTGGGAGGGAGCATGTTAGACTATGAAACTGAGTTCCATGGGGATTTTACTATCTGTTCATGCTAGAAATTAGGCATATTAATAGTAGATTTCAGTAAGGCAAAGATAAATTGCACGTAGTTGGAAGTCCCTTTTTGATATGCATATATTTGACCAGTTTTTGATCATGGAACTAAAGTGGGTTTTCTGTATTGAATTAATCAGTATATTACTAGGACAAATTAGAGTTCTTTTTTTGCGTGTTTTTGTGAGTGCATGTCAAAAACACTTTTCCAGTTGTTTTGGATTACTTTACAAAGACAACTCATATCATTAGGATCAAATGAATTGGGATGTGTTCATTTGTATTATGTATTTCTTCATCACAACCAGTGGAACTTTACTGTAGCAGACATGGACTGTATGCTTTGGCAAGTTATTTTCTCGTGTAATTATATTTACTGCTTTGGAGCCATGCAGTGGATGTGACTGATCCAATATATCAATTACAATAAGCATTAAGAATGTTTTGGAGGCTAATTAAGTAATCCTGATCTGTGTTAATTCAAACAAAAAGTCCTGCTATGAAGCTAATTTACTAAGTTAAGGGGGCAAGAGGGAGCGGACGGCCTTGTTGCTGCCTGCAGATGCAATGCGTGCGCCTGTATCACTTAATACTATTTTAGCCATGGTGTTGTACCTCTCTTCGTTCTCCCCATTTCAGCTCTTCCTTCTTGTTGCATATAACCTTCTGGTACAAACCGATGTACTTCCATAACAAGGAGTGCAATTCTGCAACTGGCACTCTATGAGTAGAGTCCGAGTTGTTTGAGATCTGCCTTGTGTTCACAACGTATTTGGACAGCCTCACTCATTGCTTTTGTCAGCCACAGCAAGCCAGTACTACAGTCTGTCTAAGTTTACTGAAGCTATTAGGACCCTTTGCTTCTCCTTGAACCAAGTTCTTGAACTTCCAGGACATTTCAGTCGTTCTAGTGAAGGCAATGCAGAGAGGTCTATTGAAGTCAAGGAGTCCAATGACCCCCAATTCCTGCAATCATCTGAAAGGGAGGCTCCTGGCATTAGTCATGCTACGGTGTAATCATTCTTTCTTGTCCCTGAATTGGATTTGTATCTGCTATTTAACTTTACTATAGATACTTAAACACTTAGATTATTAAGACTAAAGTAATTTCTCAGATGTCCAGTGAGTGACATGTGACACGTGTTTAACTATAACATCCTTGTCTTGGGTTTCTGAGCAGTAAGAATTTCGCAAATTCAGAAGAGGAAATATTGTGGCACCCTACCATGCAGGAATCTACACTATTCCCAGAAGTCTGTCTAAACACATTCCTAAGATTTGTAGATCAGAAGTCTGTCAGACTCTCTCCAAATTTTTTAAAAGAAGACAGATGGCTCACACCACGGTTTCCTGTGATTTCCTTGTCTTGAGAGCAAGTTCAAATGCCTTTAAGTTGGAAAGAATGAACCTGTCCTTAAGCGTTGCGCCCTTTCTTTAGTAAAAGCAGCAATATCTTTTCCAAGTAAGCAAGAGACGGAAATGAATGATTTGCTGTTTGTTATTGGACTCCTGAGTCTATTTATATGCTTCTGCACTATTTCCTTTTCACTGTATTCCTATGAAGTTTATTTTTAAAGACGTACCCAGTTTTGGAGTTGAAGAATGTTACTGAAAAATACCCTTTAAAAATAGGCTCCTAAACACCAT